ATATTCTCTTTACTCCTAGTTGTAGAATTTCCACTCAGCCAGCCCTCCTGTGGTTCTGGATGTTGTCCGTTCCCTTTTTCAGGCTTAATTTGAATTGGTTGTTTAAGGCAGCAATCTCCGGCGTTAACCTATGCCGCCATCTTCGGTTCTCTCCAGGCCAAGCACTTTATTGGTGATTGTTTAATACTCAGAACAATTCTGAGATGGGTGCTGCACTTGTCCCCATTTTAGAGATGTGAGGCACAGTGAGAAATACCCAGCGTCCCAAGTGGCCAGGCCTGGGATATGTGCCTTATTTTCTGACTGCTGGCAGTTTTTGCTCTGGGGAACTATTTTATACTGTATTTCTACTGCTTAGAATCCCAAACTCTGGGGCTTTTTCTTTTTGTTGCTACAGAATCAATACTTATAGATCTTTAAAGAACAAAGTTACAGAAACATGTTACAGAAAGTCGACCTTTCATAGACCAGAAATCATTGAAAGTATGGAGGTGCCTTCACAGAGGGGAGTTAGGGTGCTGGGCATCAGAGTGGGGTCTTCTCACTGAATTCTTTTGTGTGTGCTTTTTCGAGCTATGTGGATATATTATTACCTATTCAGGAAACAAAATGTGTCTTTCCAAACCTTCTCCCCTCCAATCTCAATCCAACCAGCAGTTATCTCTAGCTTTGTTCCACACTGTTTCCCTGTGTTAACTCTGCTAACACAGAGGTGGAGTTGTCCTTCCCCACCTTTTTTTTTCTTTTTCTTTTGGTTGTTGTATCTACCTGGAATGATTATTTTTCTCCCTTTAAATCCAGTTTAAAGTTTTAATTCACTGTCCACCTCTCTGCAACTTTTTTCACTTTAACAAGAAGTGATTTAGTGAGTCTTCTCAGAACATCTCAGATTTTTACCTTGTAGACTATAAGTCAAAGCCTTTTAGTTATCGATGTCCTTCTCACTTTACTGACTTTAAGCCCCTGGCAGCCAAGAGTTCTCCCATGGTCTCTAACACAGTGTCTCAATAAACAGGCATCAAGAGATGTCTGTGGAGTGACTATTTCTGGGTGTTCTCTTTCATGGCTATTTGTACTTTATTTATTCATTTATGTATTTATTTGTGTGCACTTTTTAAAAAAATATATTTGATTGATTTTTTTACAGAGAGGAAGGGAGAGGGATAGAGAGTTAGAATCATTGATGAGAGAGAAGCATCGATAATCTGCCTCCTGCACACCTCCTACTGGGGATGTGCCCGCAACCAAGGTACATGCCTTTGACCGGAATCGAACCTGGGACCTTTCAGTTCGCAGGCCGACGCTCTATCCACTGAGCCAAAGTGGTTAGGGCTGTGTGCACTTTTTAATCTCCCTGGTTTTCTCTCCTTCACTAATTTTTCTCATCATAGAATTCTACTTTATATTTTATTAAAAATAATATTTTTATTATAGTGATAACTGCTTTATTGAGAATCTGCTATGTTCAGAGGTTTTATTTTAATCTGCAAACTAGTTCATTATAATTGATATTATTTACATTTACAGAAGAGGAAACGGAGGCTCTTAGAATGTAAGTTACTGGCCCAAGGTCATCAGCTTAGTCATTGGGCAAACTAGTATCAAAACTGATGGCAGAGTTATTAGTTGTCCATTTCCCCAGAGTTATTTATAGAAGAAATGAAAGCAAATTTTATAGTCAAATTAACTAAGTTGTATAACCTTCAACACCTTTTAATTCTTAAATGTAGCCATCAGATATTGTGAAAGATGTCAGTTGATTAAACCTGATCGGGCGCATCACTGCTCAGCATGTGACATGTAAGTGTTACCTTCATTTGCTTTCCTTTAACCCCAGCATTGGAAATTGATGACAGGAGAACAGAAGGGGAAGGGACATTTTATATGCTTTATACTTAGCAAAAACACTTCATCCTCTCCCATTATTTGCTATACAGTGGGGCCTTGACTTACGAGTTTAATTCATTCCGAGACCGAGCTCCTAAAGGAGCTCGTTAAGGAGCTCGTTAACTCAAATTACTCTGTCAACTCAATGCAAATAATCTGCCGAGAGATAGCTGGTATCTCAAAAAACTCGTTAGTCGGGGCACTCGTAAGTCAAGGCCCCACTGTATATGTGGGCTAACATTAATATTTCCATAAGCTAGAATATACTTTGGGGTAATCTTTAATAATAGTTCCTGTACTGGTTGATGGAATTTTCTTTTTTTTTAATCCTCACCTGAGGATATACGTTATTAGAGAGAGAGAGAAAGAGAAAGAGAGAGAGAGAGAGAGAGAGAGAGGGAGAGAGAGAGAGAGAAAAACATTGATTGGTTGCCTCCCATACGATCCCCAACTGGGGATCAAACCCACAACGTAGATATGTGTCCTGACCAGGATCAAACCCATAAACTTTTGGTGTATGGGATGATGTTTCCACCAACTGAGCCACCCAGCCAGGACTTGATGGAGTTTTCTTTAAATATATTTTTTATGTTTATGCTTAATATAATATTGATGAACAAGTAAGCAATTACCCCCTTAAGAATAACTATTTCCTGGATTAAAATGTTAATTTTTTTGTTTTTTATTATAAATGTTGATATTAAAACCTAACAAGCCACACACAAAAAAATATTTCTTTAATTTTAATCTGTAACGTTGTTCCCAGAAAAAACTTAAAAGATTTTATTCCTGTGCACTTGTTAGAAGATAATGTGTTGGAAGGAAAGATCCCCAGTTTGGGAATCCCAGTTAATTCTTGAACCTGAGTTAAACAAGTTATTTATCCTTCTGAGTTTAACTTTATCATTTATTATGTTAATGGAGATGATCTGTGGTCTGACATAAATATACAAAAGGCCTGGTGCATGATCGGGGCCAGGGAGGGCGGCGGGAAGGCTCCAGAGCATGTCCGGCCCATTTTGCCCAGTTCCGATTGGCTGGACCTCAGCAGCAAGCTAACCTATCAGTTGGAGCATCTGCCCCCTGGTGGTCAGTGTGTGTCATAGCTACCGATCGAATGGTCGCTTTGGCTTTTATATATATAGATAGATTACATATACTGGCAGGGAGGCAAATTTTGGTCTTTTTTTTAAATTATAAAAATAATTAAATGCTTATCCATGGATAAAATTTTATAAAATACTAGAGGCCTGGTGCATGAAATTCATGCACGGGTAGGGTCCTAGGCCTGGCTGGCAATCAGTACTAATCTGTGGGGTGACCGGTGGGGCAATTGGGGGGAGCCCCCTCTGACACCCGCCTTGGCTGGCCTGGTGCTGCCCACTCACCCGCCCTGCCCCCTGCCATCACCATTGGTCCTGCAGGCTGGGGGCTGCTCCTGTGTTGAGCATCTGCCCCCTGATGGGCAGTGCGCATCATAGCATCTGGTCATTCCACCGTTCGGTTGATTTGCATATTAGGCTTTTATTATATAGGATGTGGAAAAATAATCACATATAAGCCCATCAGTATTAATATTTTAACATAGTTGCTTCTAAAGTTTTCTTTTTATGACTTGCACAGATTTAAAATAGGGATTGTCTGTATTTCATTTCATTTCCCTTAGCTGATTTGTGAGCTGGACTAGCTAATGTACCAAGTGCATCATATCTCTGTGTTAAAATGTCTGTCTCTTAATGTGGTCCAAGGCAGAAAACTATTACCTTTTACCTATGAAAGTATTGGGGAAAATATCAGAAAATTTCTCTAATCTAATGCTTACTTGGTTGGTTTTTCTAAGATGTATTTGTAAAGAGAAAAATGTAAGGGAAAAAATTATCAACAATGAGAATTATGTTTATTTGTTTTTTAGATGTATTCTTAAGATGGATCATCACTGTCCTTGGTATGTATAAACACAGAGGAAGTCACATATAAGGGTGGAGAGGTGGGAAGGAGAGAAAATTTTCAAGATCAACTTAATTACTTATATATAACTAGAGGCCTGGTGCATGAAATTCGTACACTGGGAGGGGGCGGGGGTGTCCCTCAGCCCAGCCTGCACCCTCTCCAATCTGGACCCCTCAGGGGATGTCCGACTGCCGGTTTAGGCCCAATCCCTCAGGCCTAAACCAGCAGTTAAACAACCCTCTCACAATCCAGGACTGCTGGCTCCCAACCGCTCACCTGCCTGCCTGCCTTATTGCCCCTAACTGCTTCTGCCTGCCAGCCTGATTGACCCCTAACCACTCCCCTGCCAGCCCGATCACCCCCACCTGCCCTCCCCTGCCAGCCAGGTTGCCCCTAACTACCCTCCCCTCTGGCCCGGTTGCCCCCAGCTGCCCTCCCTTGCAGGCCTGGTCACCCTTAACTGCCCTCTCCTGATGGCCTGATCGCCCACAACTGCCCTCCCTTGCTAGCCATCTTGTGGTGGCAATCTTGTGACCACATGGGGGTGGCCATCTTGTGCGAGAGTATGACAGTCAGTTTGCTTATTACCTCTTTACTATATAGGATAAGATTGATCTATTTATATACATGTTTATACTAAATGTTTTCCTTTAAAAATATATTCTGATATTGGTAATCCAAATAATTGTATATTAAGAATTAATGTTAAATTTCCCAGTTCCTTATGGAATTTATTAAAAACACATTCACAATTAAGACATTGCTCCCTACTTTCCAAATGACCCATTTCCTAATAATAATGACTAAGTTTTTTTGAAATGTCTTGTTTATTATTATGATTAGAAAAAAACAAAACATACATTTTATCATCTTAACCATTTCTAAGTTCAGTTTAGTATTGTGAAGTATGTTCATATTGTGCAACCAGTCTTCAGAACTTTTTGATCTTGCAAAACTGAAACTCTGTACCCATTAAACAGCTTCAAATTTCCCCTCCCTCAGCCCCTGGCAAACATTCTAGTTTTTGTTTCTGTGAGTTTATGATTTGTCTTATTTTTACAGTGTGACCTTCTTTATTCTTCTAGGGTGAATAACTGTGTGGGATTTTCTAATTACAAATTCTTCCTGCTGTTTTTATTGTATTCCCTATTATATTGCCTGTTCGTGGCTACAACAGTTTTACAGTACTTTATAAAATTTTGGACGGTAAGTCTTTTTTTTTTCCTAAAACATGTTTAAGACTTTTTAAAATGCTCTATTCATAAATAATTTATTCTTTATTACAAGTAGATATACTTTATTTTAATTTTACTAGTTAGAATTTGTAATGGATCAGAGAGCAAACAGGGTAATATTTTCCTACATATATACATGTTTACTTTAAGTAAATGAATATTAAACAGGATGTAGTGAGCTTCTTTTTAGTGATCTAAACTATTTTCACCCACACTCTTAATAGTGGACATAACAATTTTAGGGAAGTAATTGCTTTTATTTGAGTTGATGAGACTTACTGAAGTTTTATAGTAATAAAACTGATATTCTCAAGTCTATATAATCACTAATCTCTGTCATATCTGTATAGACATTAATTCTTTTTCTATCATGAGTTGCAAATGTTTTTTCCACATTTTCATTTTATATCTTACTAGAGGCCCGATGCACGAAATTTGTGCATGGGTAGGGTCCCTAGGCCTGGCCAGCGATCAGGACCAATCTGTGGGGTGACCAGTGTTACGATCAGGAACCCCCGCTGGCACCCACCTTGGCTAGCCTGGGGCCTGCAAACTCGTGGTAGCTTCTGCGTTGAGCGTCTGTCCCCTGGTGGTCAGTGCTCACCATAGCAACTGGTCGTTCCACTGGTCATTCTGCCACTTGATCGATTTGCATATTAGGCTTTTATTATATAGGATAACTCTGCTTTATTTTTTATCAAATCAAAGTTTTATATTTTAAAGCAGTGCTTTTTAAAAATATATATATTTTATTGATTTTTTACAGAGAGGAAGGGAGAGGGACAGAGAGCTAAAAATATCGATGAGAGAGAAACATCAATCAGCTGCTTCCTGCACACCCCCCACTTGGGATGTGCCCGCAACCAAGGTACATGCCCTTGACCAGAATCGAACCTGGGACCCTTCAGTCTTCAGGTCGATGCTCTATCCACTGAGCCAAACCAGTCAGGGCTAAAGCAGTACTTTTTTAAATGATTTCCAATTTTAAGGGTTTTTTAAATTTAAAAACAGTACTTTGTATTTATGATTCCTGGCTTTAGTTTGTTTGCTATAAATTTCTTCTGGAATTTTTGTTTGTGTTTTCACATTTAATTCTTTGATTTTGAAAGGGGGGTTGTTGTGGTTGAAAAGTACTTTTGGCCCTGGCCTGTGTTACTCAGTGGTTAGAATGTTGGCCCACACACCAAAGGGTCATGGGTTCGATTCCCGGTCAAGGGTATGTACTTGGGTTGCAGTTCGATCCCCGACTTCTGTTGGGGTGCTTGCAGGAGGCAACCAGTCAGTGTGTCTCACATTGATGTTTCTCTCTCCCCCCCTCTTTCCCCTCCTTCCCTTCCACTCTGAAAAGCAATGGAAAAAATATCCTCAAGTGAGGATTAAAAAAAAACGTACTTTAGGAATTTATTCCTAAAAACCCTCTGAAGGTGTTTTAAAATACAGGTTTTGTTATTATTCAGGTATGGTGAAGCCAACAGATAAGGAGGTAATTACCATTGAAAGGATAGTTTGTCGCTCCCTGTTCCCAAGGGCAGAGGCATGCCATACTGTGCTATACCACACAGAGCCACACAGGGAAGCACTGGGGTCATGCAGTAAGCAGAAGGGGCAAGCCCAGAGCCTTTATTGTGGTTTCTGCAGGAAAGGCAGGGCATTGTAGGGCACGGGGATTTCTAATTAACCAGTTTGAATAATTCAGTACTCTCTGGGCATACAGGCTGTTCCTGGTTGTCTGATACTTAACTCTAGGACAGGGGAATATTGCATCCTAGAGTGTAAGAGTCAGGCAGAGGGGGTGGTTTGGAATTTGGGCTCTAACTGGTTGGTTTGTACATGAGAGATACATTCCTTGCCATCTCTTAAGAATTAGATAGCCCTGGGAGTGACAGTTTCTTCCCAGTTAGCAAGGCCCAAGATAACAGAGCATCAAGAACATAGAAAATAAGAAAGTATACTTAATGCAGAGGGGCTATTATTATTATTCCAATTTTCAGAGTTGGAAAATGAGTATAGAGAAGTTAGATAACTACCCAAGGTAACATATTTAATAGTATTGGAAGCCAGAATTTTAACTGACATGTCTATTCCAACATACAGATACTTACCACTATGACTTGCTATTCATAATCAGTGGGAAGAAAATAATTAAAGGCTCAAGTCATAAAACAGTTATTTTTTCATGAAATACCTAATACATTTTGGAAGGACTTTATTTAAAACACCATTAGATGTTTAAAATTTGGGTATTTAAAACCAGGGAATGCTGACATTGCCTTTGAGCATGTTAGAAAAGAGCACCCCATATCTATGTGGTCTTAACCTAATGAATTTTGGCCTCTATTGTTTCCCTACCTTGGTATCTTTGTTCAGTTTACAACCTACTTAACCATACTCAATGGCCCTATTTAAAGGAAAAGGACTCAGTGCCAGAAGAATGAAGTCCAAATTATAGAATTTCACATTTATCAGAAACTTCAGCACTGTTTGCATGTAATGATTTATTAATTAAGGAATATTAACTTTTTTAGGTTAATCATGTTAAGAAAGTCTAGTAAACTTAAATCTACCTTTTTCTTCATTTGTTCAATAAATATTTACTTACCACCTATAATGTGCCAGGCAGTATTCTAGGCACTTGGGATATATCAGTGAACAAAACAAAGAGTAATGTCTTTGGAAGAAGGAATCAAATAATAAACATAATAAATAAGTAAATTATATTTTAGAAAGTAAATGCTGTGAAGAAAATAAAACTAGGGTAAGGGATTTGGCAAGTGTGAGAGTGGGTAGGATACGTGTAGTTTGCAGCATTAAAAAGAGTGATCAGGTAGACCTCAGTAAGAAGTTTTGAGGAAAGACCTTAAGTTAGTGGATATCTGAGAGAAGAACATTTATGCACACAACACAGGAGCACCTAAATATATAAAGTAAATATTATACTAACAGACTTAAAAGGAGATATAGCCCGGCTGGTGTTGTGCAGTGATTGAGTGTTGACCTATGAACCAGGAGGTCACAGTTCCATTCCCAGTCACGGCACATGCCCGTGTTGCAGGCAGGAGGCAGCCAATCGATGATTTTCTCTCATCATTGATATTTCTATCTCCTCTCTCCCTCTCCCTTCCTCTCTCTGAAATAAATTTTAAAAATATTTTTAAAACGGAGATATAGACAGCAATACAATAATAGCAGGGGACTTGAATACCCCACTTTAATCAGTGGATAGATCATCCAAACAAAAAGTCAATAAAGAAGCATCTACCTCACCCTAGCTGGTTTGGCTCAGTGGATAGAGCGTCAGCCTGTGGACTGAAGGGTCCTGGGTTTGATTCCAGTCAAGGACACATGCCTGGGTTGCAGGCTCCGTCCCCAGTAGGGGGCATGCGGAAGGCAGCCAATCAATGATTCTCATCATTGATGTGTGTGTGTCTCTCTCTCTCTTTTTTTTTTTTAATATATTTTATTGACTTTTTACAGAGAGGAAGGGAGAGAGAGATAGAGAGTTAGAAACATCTATGAGAGAGAAACATCGATCAGCTGCCTCCTGCACAACCCCCACTGGGGATGTGCCCGCAACCCAGGTTCATGCCCTTGACCGGAATCGAACCTGGGACCTTTCAGTCCGCAGGCCGACGCTCTATCCACTGAGCCAAACCGGTTTCGGCTCTCTCTTTCTCTTTCTCTCTCCCTTCCTCCCTCCCTCTCCCTCTCTCAAATCAATAAAAATATATTAAAAATAAAAAAATAAAAAGTCTTTTAAAAAAAAGAAACATCTACCTCAAATGACACATTAGTCCATATGTACTCAACACACATGTAGTGAACACTCCATCAAAAAACCACAGAATACACATTCTTCTTAAGCACACATGGAACATTCTCAAAGATCTAAACAATAGATCTTTTTTAGTCAAAAAAACAAGTCTTAATAAATTTAAGAAGATTGAAATCATACAAAGCATCTTTTCCAACCACAATGGTATAAAACTAGAAGTCATTTACAAGAAGACAACTGGGAAATTCACATGTAAGTGTACATTAAATGGTACTGAACAACCAGTGGGTCAAAGGAGATATTAAAAAATATCTTGGGACAAATGAAAATGGAAGTAAAACACACCAAAACTTACAGAATGCAGCAAAAGCAATTCATAGAGGGAAGTTCATAGTGATAAGCACCTATGTTAAGAATTAAGAAAGATCTCAATGTAACTTCAAAACTTAAGAACTAGGAAACAAAGAACAAATGAAGCCAAAGTCCAAATTGGGGATTCTTGTTGATGATCAATTAGTGCCAATGACCATTGGTAGACAGGTGCCTAGTCATTTTACTGGCCCTAATAAGTAAAAACAGGGAGATTAAAAATGGTGGTGGAGTAAGTGGATGCCCAGGATCAATGAGGTATTACCTCACCCCTGTCAGAACAGCTACCATCAACAAATGACAAGCACTGATGAGGATGTGGAGAAAAGGGAACCCTAGTACAGCTGGTTGGAATGCAGACTGCTGCAGCCATTATGAAAAACAGTATGGAGTTTCCTCAAAAAATTAAATATGGAACTGCCATTTGATCCAGTGATTCCACTTCTAGGAATATATCCTAAGAAATCAGAAACACCAATTAGAAAGAATGTATGCATCCCTATAGTCATAGCAGCACAATTTACAATAGCTAAGATCTGGAAACAGCCCAAGTGCGCATCAGTAGATGAGTGGATAAAGAAGCTGTGGTACATTTATACCATGGAATACTATGCAGCAGTATAAAAGAAGGATATCTTACCCTTTGAGACAGCATGGAGGGACCTTGAGAGTGTTACGCTAAATGAAGTAAGCCAGTCAGAAAAAGATAAGTATCACATGATCTCACTCATGTGGAATCTAATTAACAAACTCATGAATGGAGTGGTTCCAGAGATATGGAACAGAGTGGGTAATCTCAGAGGGAAGGCAGGTGAAGGTGAGGGTGGATGGGTGGGAGGTGATCAACGAAAGAACTTGTATGCATATATGCATAACTCATGGTCATAGACAATAGGGTGGTGAAGGCAGGGGGTAGGGGTGGGGTGGAAGGGATCTGTGGGAGGAAAAGGGACATATATAATACTTTCAACAATAAACAAAAAGTTCAACTAACGTCTACAAGTTTAAAAAAATAGATCAGAAATCAATGAAATAGACTTAAAAAGAAAATAGAAAAGATTAGTGAAAATCAGAGCTGGTTTTTGTAAAGAGAAACAGAAATAAACAAACCGTTACCTAGACTCACCAAGAATAAGACAGGACTCAAATAAAATTAAAAAATGAAAGAGGAGACATTACAACTAATACCACAGAAATACAGAGGATTATAAGAAACTATTATGAACAATTATATGCCAAGTATTAGACAACCTAGAAGAAATGGATAAGTTCTTAGAACCATACAACCTTCCAACTCTGAATTATGATGAAATAGAAAATCTGCACAGACTAATTACTAATAAGGAGATTGAATCGGTCATTGAAAGCCTCCCTGCCCCCCAGAGAAAAGTTCAGGACTAGATGGCTTCACTGATAAATTTCACCAAATATTTAAAGAGCTAACTCCTGCCTTCAACTTTTCCAGTAAATGGAAGAAGAGGGAATAGTTCCAAACTCACTTTATGAGGCCAGCACTACTCTGACACAGAAACCAGACAAGGTCACTACAAGAAAAAATTACATGCTAAAATCCTTGGTGAATATAGATACAAAAATCTTTCCACAGAATATTAGCAAATTCAGTAATGCTTTAAAAGAATCATACACCATGATCAAGTGAGATTTTTCCAGGGATGCTTCACCATCTACAAATTCATCAGTGTGATATATCACATTAACACAATGAAGGATAAAAATCATGTTCATCTTAATAGATTCAGAAAAAGACATTTGTTAAAATTCAACTCTGTATACAAAACTCAACAAAGTGGGTATAGAGAGAACATACCGCACCATAATAAAGGCTATATCCTATCTAATAAAAGAGAAACATGGTAATTAGCGTACGTCCGCTACCCTTCCCATTGGCTAATCAGCGAGATATGCAAATTAACTGCCAGCCAAGATGGCGGCCGGCAGCCAGGCAGCTTGAAGCTAACATGAGGCTTGCTTGCTTCAGTGACAGAGGAAGCCAACGTTCCCTGCCTGCCTTGCCGGCCTCTGAGCTTGCAGTTTGAAACATTGTTACAAATATAGAAGCGAAACAAAACCCCAGAAACCAGCTTTCAGCTGGCTGGGATCTCAGAGCTGGAGTTGATGCAGAGTTTTT